CGCGAAATCTGCTTTAAAATCTAGAATCTACTAAATCAAGCGTATCAATCCTCTACCATTTTGATTGGAGAACCATATTATTATTTTAAAAATATGAGCTGTGCGCCAGGACACATCATCTGATTAGAGTTACGTAATTTTCTTATCGATTTGAAAGCTGAATACAGCACTAGTGGTCAAAAACTAGGATGTAAAGAATGAGTTATGCGGTCTGAAAAGTTCAGCTGCAGAGCCGGAATTCTTCAAAAATATTTTTGATTTCATTATTATATTTAGTGTCTACTGCTTCTTTGCTTGAAATGAAAAAGAACAATTATTGAAATAAATTTCATTCCAAACGTAATTTGTAAAATACTGAGCAGCTTGATTGCTAAATAAATATTTCAGCGAGGAAATTATTATAGCTTTTCTAATGAAATTTTTAATTCATTATTTTCCTTTTTAAAAGACCGTATTTTTTCATTCAGCCTAATAAAGTTCTAAAATATCTACTGTTTGTAAAAAAATTAAAATAAAAATATTAGGAACAGCAATATCATACTGTACTGTTACTTTGAATCAGTTGAAATTAACAACCTTACATTTTTTGTTTGTGTTTTATTAAGTTTTTAAGCATAACTTTTAAAGTATACTAATATGACTTAAATTATTATATTAATAATAAAAATTAATTAGTATTTTGAATCAATCATTTAATTTAATTCATAAATTTATACTAACAAATGAAAGTAATCATTATTCTTATTAATAAATATAAAGCTAATTGAAAATTTGATTTTTTTTAATTTTCATAAAATTTAAGTGAGTACGGAACCAAAATAAATCAAGTAAATAATTGGTATGCAGTTTTACGAACATGGCTTGACCTATTGATTAAGCAAATTAATTTGTATTTATCATCATATGCTTAGTATTAATTATTAAACTTATGCTAATGATAAAAATTAAGCCGTATTTTTGGAAATAAGTACAATATTTACTGTAACTTTTAAACACCAAAAAGATTAAGAGAAACTATTGAAAAAATTTATATAGAAACTAGATTCTTCTTTTCTTATAATTTTTGAAAACGCTAGAAAAAAAACATTAAATAAATAATTTTAACCTTTTATTACAAAATGTTTTCAATTGACTAAGAAAAAGGGAAAAAAATCTTCAAATCTGAATAATTATCAGAACATATAAGAACAATTTTAAATACATGTGGTTTGCACAATTTTAAATATGATTTGCAAAATTTTTAATACATGTGCTCTGAATAACATTGACTACTACAATTATAGGTAAATATAGCAGTTCAAGGTCTAAGCTGATTAATTAGATTATAATATATCCGATTTATTTATTTATATAATCAGCATAAAACAACACACCCTTTAACTCATTTCAGCTGAATCAAATCATCGCTGAATTGAATTAAATCATCGTTAACATATCAAACAATTGTTATTAACAAATTCAAATTCAAATTGCTACCATTACTATTATTATTATTATTATTATACTTATTATTAACAAATCTAAATTAAAAAATATTAATAATTTATTAATTAGTAAATTTAAATTCAATGATTCATTAATCTCTTTCAAACAAATAGAAGCAGCCTTTGAGTTCATAATTATCATCGCTATCTGAAAAATTCTAGCAGTTGTAATTACGTACGGTAACAAGAATATTCGAACAAAGACATTCCAAATTACAAGTAATGTGCTGGGTTAAGAGCTTTGATTTACATAATGTTATTCTCTCAATGATTTTGAATGCTTAGACCCTTAATGTAAACATGGAATAACAGATAATTTATCGAAAGTCCTTGCTCTCTGTTAGATATTTTATGCCCTTGTGAACATATTATCGTAATTCTTAAACAGGATTGCACTATTCTATCACACAACGGAATTTTGATTCAATTTAGTAACTATAGCAAAAATTTGAACCACATCATAGTTCAAGGTACAGATATTATTTTGAATCATTTTGACTGAAATTACAGTGCAATTTTGTAGAAACTTTGTAGTAATTTAAGTTCATAGCATAGTGAACTACTCACTACTAATATACTATATTTTATAACCATCGCTGAACAGTCGACCCAGTTTTGGGGTTTACGACTTCTAATGTAAGCCTTTGCCTAACGTAACCTTTGAATTTTGAACCCAATCCAGAAGACAAGGGAACTCCAAGATAAAGGAGAGTTTTGGGAGTGTTTTGCCTTCGTGGAGGACTTCTTGATGGAACTAACCCGCATTTGCGTTACATGGAGAGGAAGATCACGATAACCTGCCAGGTTTAGCCTGATGGCAAAGGGACTCTATCCCATGATCCGTCAACCACTGAGGATATTTCACGTCAACACTGTGATCGGTGCCAGCCGGATGCCGGATTCGCATCGGCCAGCCATTGTGGGGATTCAAACCCGATTCCCCTCATTGGAAGGTGAACGCTCTATCTCCTGAGCCATCGTGGCTCTACTATAAACTATATATATATATATNTATATATATATATATATATATAACCGTCGTTGAACAACAGATCCAATTTTATCGGTTTACGACTGCTAATGTTCAACTCCGTAACCTTCTAATTTGGAACCCAATCCAGAAGACAAAGTAACTCCTGGATCGAGTACTGGGAGAAATTTGCTTTCGTGGAGGACTATTTTTGATGGAGCTAGATCGCATTTGCCTTACATGGATAGGAAAGCCACGAAAACCACCCACGGTTAGCATGACGGGTAGGGGACTCTAACCCATGATCCATCCTCCACAGAGGATATTTCACGTCAGCACTGTGGTCGGTGCAAGCCGGATGCGGAATTCGTATCGACTGGGATTCGAACCCAGTTCGCCTCATTGGAAGGCGAATACTCTATCCCCTGAGCCATCGCGGCTCACTATAAACTATATGGCTTTATGCTGTAATTTCAGCTGAAACTATATATCACTTATAATTAAACTAATATTACTAATGATCACACACTAAGCAGCCATGACCAGGCACGTAGCTCCGCTTTTCAGGGCCCTTTGTTATGGCAGTCAAAACTCGACAGCCATGTAAATGTGACTCCATTCTGACTATGTGGACATCACCTGAGCAGCTATTCTTTTCTCCAAGCTTCCATACCACAACTAACGATACGACAGATAAAGCAGCTACGCATATTAGCCAGGAATTTAGCCGACTGTCAGGATCGAACTCGTTTGCTTTATGCCTTCCTTTATTACAGTGAGTGACGCCTTAATGAAGGTAATTGCGAACATTGCCTTGCAATTTTCAAGTTGTTTTTTATTGATTATTTCAATTGTATATTTTGACCAGTTACAGAATTGTATAAATTTAAATATAAAATTAGTATAAAAACTTGAAAGTATAAATAAAACCTATTAACACTATAATAATTGTAATACTGTAACTAAATATACTTATCATAAGATGTTTTGTAACAGGTAGTATATGATTTTTTAAAAAAATATAGTAATATAAATCCACTTTAGGTTTTAAGCCTTTCATTTTGATTAATCATCAAAATTGAAAAAGTAAAAAATAAAAATAATAATATTAAGAAAGGATGATAAACAAATTTAGCAGTAAATGCCATTGAATAAGAATACCTATGAATAAATAAATAATTTATAGCAAATACCAACAATATTTTTATAAATTTTTCGTTGATGACAAAGATATCGTGAATTTTTTATAAATATATTCCTCAAATGTCATAATATTTCAATGATTTATGCTGGTTGCTGCTGCACCGTTAAAAATTCCAATTCAATTTACGGTAAAAAGTATGGGCATCATGGATCCCTAGCCAAATTATTAGACGCACTATAAGATTTTAAGTAAAATCTTAATTATCAGGTGATACTATACAGCTTTACTGTATTTACGTGACTGAAACCGGTTGGCACTAGTTTACATTCGTGTATTAATTGGTTAAATTAGACGATATATAACATAAATTCGACGATTGTATAAATTAGACGATTAGATTATATAAATACAGAATATTTAATATATCAGATATTATATTAAAATGTTATAACAATTAGCCCATACTATTAGACGCACTGTAGTTTTTTTAATAATTACATGTTTTGCACGAGTTTATATGCAGTAATTTTGTAATTAAACATACATGTAATAGATTTTTATTCAGGAGATTTTTTTATATACGTCCAATTTGTATTTATTTAGAACGTATTGCATTACAAATGTTAATCAATTGATACACTAACGTAAACAAATACAAACCGGTTTTAGCAGCGTAAAAACAATAAAGCTGTATAGTATCACCTGATAATTAAGATTTTACATAAAATCTTATAGTGCGTCTGTTAATTTAGCCAGAGACTGTACAAGAAATTTCTTCCTCAGCAAAATCAATTTTTATCGTAAAAATCTATACCATAATTTTTACGGTAATATTTATTTAATTACACTGATTCAGAGAATTTATAGTAAATACTACTGTAAAAATTGCAGTAAACCAGATTCTTTATTCCATAAAATTTTTACTGTTGAAAGTATTCGCACCCAAATTGCAGGTACTTTTTACCAATATTTGATCAGAAATTTTTTTACGGTTTACCCATGCAAGAGTTTTCACTAAAATATTTTTAAGTATAGTCAATAAAGAACAGTTCATAGATAATTAATTAACTATTAAGAAGTTAATTATATACATGACATCCTCTTTAAAATGAATAAATGATTAAATATCTAATAAATTAATATCTGATTGCAATTCAATATCCAGAATTTAATTAATATCACATAAGTTCTCACCTTAATTTTGCTCAGGTACTTTCTTGGCGGCAAATATTTTTAAGTATAGTTAATAAAGAACAGTTCATAGATAATTAATTAAGAAGTAAGAAATTAATTATGTACATGACATCCCCTTTAAAATGACTAAAAGATTAAATATCTAATAAATTAATATCTGATTGCAATTCGATATCCAGAATTTAATTAATATCACATAAGTTCTCACCTTAATTTTGCTCAGGTACTTTCTTGGCGGCCTTTTTACAAACAGGTATCCCTGCTTGACGACGTCACCAACGGGAAAGCTTAAGGGAGGACTACACTGAAAATCACTAGCCATCACAGAAATGTCATTTTAGTCTCAAAAATTTTTTTAGTTGATTTCGTTTTTAACATAAACAACTTGAAATAAATTTATACAATTTATAACATTCTCACACTTTAAACTCTTTTTAATAGCACCTTATTAAGCTCTAACTAAGGGGATCAAATGATCAGTTAAGTTAGCATGATCAGTTGGGATCCCAAACAATCTTCACACTTTCTTGGAGCCAGTGTAATCCAATGCACATACAGTTTTTAAGTACTGCACTTAGCTTTGGATATAATCCTGCTTAGTAGTGAATTCATTGTATAGGAAATTTTCCCGTTTTATATACAACGGGAATAAAAAAATGTGAAAGAAAAATATATTTCAGTGCGATACTAGCATGATAATCTTCCAAAATCGAGAGTTAAAATACATTGCCTTATATATATAGGAAATTATGATTCATGGAATATTTTGCAAATGTTTATTGAAAGTTTTTTTTTACTCTGGAAGTAATGGTTTAGTGCATTTTCCTTTTACGCATTAAAATTATCCAGGGGTAATTTAATTCGTACTTATTGGATTGCTTAGTTAAGGAAAGTTTGGAAACTTTCATGCAGAGAAATAAACACATGCTATGAAATCAATAATCTGCTTCTCGGCTTCTCTTAGTATTCTGAACTTCTAGATCAAAATGAGAGAAGTGATGAGACTTTAGTCCGGCTTGGGAGTTTTAGATTCACGATCGCCAACCAGAATCCAATATCACGCCAGAAATCTCGCCAATATAGAGAAGTCATCCAACTCAAAGTAGTACAGAATACTAATTAACTTCTTTTTTAAAAGTATAGGTACGCAATAAAAACTCTTTAGTTAGAGAAGAACTGTATTTATATTAGATAAAAAGGCGATTCGAGAGGAAAAATTGTCAGTTAAAGGATTATTTTCAGATTAAGACGACGTCTATTGTCTGCAAGAATCGAATAAAGGGTTTTTAAGGAAATAATGAAGCCTTTAAAAAATAAGACACAAATTAAAATAACAAAAAATAATCTGAATATATTTTAGAAAAATGTTGAGTACTTATATAGGTTAATATTGTACAGATATAGGAGGATTATTTTTGGTTTAGGTTGATATCAATTTCTACGAATAATTGTAAGAAAAACAAGATTTGATGCAATATTAAAACTTTAAAAAATAATACCAAGTAAAAATAAATATAAATATCTACCATATTTTATCTTACACTATCTTTTATAAATATTGATAAAAAACCTAATATATAATAATGTAAACTATATATAGGTATAAAATAATTTCAATTAAAAAGTAATACTTTGTAAAAGGGGTCATGTATTTCAATAGCAGACTCTCTCTAACTTCCGAAGATTGATATGCAATTTCATATGTTTTGCTTACATAGTTTGAGTGTCTCAAATAATTGTTACTAAATTTATATTTTTTGCTTATATAGTTTGTATTTCTCAAAAATTGCTATGCAATTTTATATGTTTTGCTTACATAGTTTGGGAGTCTCAAAGATTGCTAAGCAAGTCTTTTTGTAATTTGTTTCCAAACCAAGCTATCTACACTCACTACTATGTTAAACCCATTTAGAATGTGTTACGGCTTAAAATGTTAAGAATTAAAATCAATTAGTAAAAATTTTGAAACTAATTCCTATTTAAAAATTATTTTTTAGTGACAAGACAAATGTTTTAAATGAAAAAAATTAAAATGAAATTAAAAAGCATGCAAAAGAAGAACTTACGGAAACAAAATAATATTTATATTTTATAAAACAACATGTGTGATGTAATGTCTCAGGTCACGTCTTTCATAATAGCTCTAAGCACTTGCATGTCGTTTTTGATAATACTTAAAAAACGTAACAGTAAGACTAATAATCATTATTATTGAACCTGCATACGTATAATTAAAGCAGAATATAGAACACATTGTTTGTTTGTCCCGCCGTGGACTGATCGTTAAGACACGGTTCCCAGCAGATCACCGAAGTCAAGCATCACTGGCTGCGGTCAGTGTGCGGGTGGGTGACCACTTGGATCAGTCTGCATAGGGACCGAGGGTATGCGGTATTAGTCCTCGTTAAACTTTTCTACCGTAAAGTGCTCGACTTCGCGTGCAGGTTGTCAAGCTACCGAAGGGGGGTGCCATTCCCTGCTCAGAGGATCAAAATTGTGATGGCATGTCTTCGGATCATCCTCAGGGATGTTTCCCAGATCGTCGCCAATAGCCCATTGTGCAGCTCTAGAGCAACGTAAATGAACTACAGCAGCATTGTTTGTTGATACAAACTAATGGCCTTTAATATTTCAGTTTTTCCCAACTTGTAGCTCAGTTAATTTCAGATTTTCGTGTAGACACGAGAAAAGAAGTTTCATTCAGAAATTTAAAAACAAGTACATTTACACTTTAGTGTTTATGACAACTCACGTGCTTTATATTTGAATTCCTTGTTTCTAACTTGAAAAACAATTTTTGAATTGTGCTCTTTTTAAATTGCACTTTTAATGAAGAAAACTTTTATAACTACAAAACTATTATTCTAATCAACTCGAATTTTAACTCATTAAATTCAGTATAAAAATTTTCATCGCAAAATGTACCCAACACGTTCAGATAACCCCAGATTGCAAATTAAAAATTTCATGAAAGTTATTTCTGAAATAATACATTTTATGCATGAAGACACTAGCAACTTCGGAAACTGTTGGTTCAACTGAATAGCGTATAGTTTCGTTCAATTTAGCGCTTATTTCTCCATTTTATTTAATGAAATCAATACTAAGTTTGATATCAAATCAAATAACGGAAACCGGAAAGTCTACGGTAAATATACAATGCGCAGAAAGGTGGATTCAGTAATAAGAAAATCCAGACGATAAGAAAAATATTTTAATGATTTTCCGAAAAAAGAAAGAGTCCTGTCGATGGGAATTCTTTAAGATTTCCATTTATATATCTAGAAAACATTTGAAATGTAATGTATTTTTTTGGTATAAATGTTTTCCTATAGAATTTAAAATTTTAGAACTAATATAAATGATAGATGCCAAAGGAAAGTAAATGGAAATACATAAATGTATTTGTTTAAGAAATCAATTAATCTTTGAAGGGTTTTTTCCGTTCATTATTTAAATATGATTTTGTGCTATTCAAGGAAAATACGACTTAGTCATTAAAATTTGAACAATATTTCTATTTCGTTCATTGTTAAAATTTTCATATTAAATTTAAGGTAAAATGACAGTTTGCAGCCTGTCTATCCAATTAACCATAAAGTTTACGGGTAAAGAAATTTTTTTTTACCTTTATGGTATTGAAACCGTTTACAACTAGTATGGTGTTAAAACTGGAAAATTCAAAACTATACGGTTTTTCAATCATTTACGACTAACATAGTTTTAAAACCATAACAACGAAATTTAACTGAGCATTGGAGATAGATTATTTGTTAGGTGATAGGCACTGGAGTTATGTTGTATCAAATGTACTCTAGAATGTGGCTTAATTAGTTTATATGGTAATTTCACCAATCGTAAGAGATTAGAAAAACTGTTTTTTTCTGCGTTAAGCAGATTCATGGAGCTGCCATCTACACGTGAATGACAGTATCGTATTCCAATATTCCATGGTCACAAATCGGGAAGGTCTGGGCACTGAAACTCTTCATGTGTTGAAAGAAATGGAAGAAATATTGTGGTGTCAACGCTGAGACCTGAACCCCCATTTCGTCAGCCATGAGTTTGCCCCCTCGGCAATAATATACACCCAGCTACAAGGAACCAAGTTGCTTCATTTGATGGGCCTAGTTGGTGCGATGAAATTCCGGTTGTTCAGCCGTATTAGGTGAAAGAACGGTATTTCTCGCAGTTAACAGTTCAAATAGCATCTTATTTACGGTTATTTGACTGTTTTGTTTGAATATGGTGAAATAAGAATTAACAAAATTGTCATTGAACCAATTCTTATGATAAATTCCTAACAGAGTATTAATGAACTAAATATCAATCAAGTTTATTAACTTATAGTTAAAATACTAGCTACCTCAAAATAACAATGAAATACTTAACTAGTCACATTTAAAATATTGAATGAAATATATAACGTATGGATTATCATTTGGCTAACCAAAGAAGGTTCGCACGATAATTTTTATAAATGCAAGGAAATATAGTCAGGAAAATATAGTTAGCATATTAGAGAACAGCAGCGTCATCTCATTTGTTGATAGTTTCGTTGATGCTGCTGTTTAGTTCTCAGCAAATTTTAATTTCAATTCCACTTTGAAGAAGAAATAATAGCAAAGCAAACGGTACTGCTGTATGGAGATAAAAAAAATCCTTGTAAAATTACCGCACTATAAGGTAATGGCATTTATAATTAAAAAATGGTAAACAAAACCGAAATATATGGTATAATTACTCATTTTGTAGTTTTTTCGTTCATATGGTAACTGTTTATCAAAAATTCTTTTTTTTCGAAAATTATAGATCTTATATCCACACATTTAGTAAAAATACAAAATCGAAAATTAAATTTGGCCGAATAAATTGCTCTGCTATTAGGTATCGTGATAAAATTACTAAATTTTACCACATTTACCAAATTTCATCTCATATTATAAAATCTCATTTTACTTTCAATTTTTGCTAAAATTATTACCAAAACGTTTCGGTAAAAATTACTGCGTATTTGGCGTTGCCATAAGGCCAGAAACGTTAAATTCTACTATATTCTAGGTAGTTTAGGCCATTTTTTTCTCAGTGTAGAGCTTATCAATTACGAATTCTTTACGATTGTACCCCACATGAAATACAGCAGATTTTAAAAACAATTTCAGCACTCATATTTGTCAATAACTGTAGTAAAGCCAAGTTTGAGGGGAAACTATAACTGATACTCTTGGTAAAGAACTGTTTTACTGTTTTGTTTAATATCTCATTGGAAGGTAGAAAATAAATTAAATATTACTTATAAATAAATTCATAAATTAATTTAATTAAATTAATAAACTAACTTATAATAAACTAACTTAATTAAATTAATAAATTAACTTAATTAATAAATAAATTAACTTAAATAATTTTATTAAAATTGTTTCCTTTACGGTTCGTTCCGTCCGGGACAGTGATCTATTTTCCTGACTGTCCCACTGATAACAGGTGCTGGGCACTGTTGAACTTTCCTGATTGTCCCACTGACAATAAGTGCTGTAAATTGCTACGTTTCTCTGATTATCTCACTGACAATGGGTGTGGGACATTGTTCCATCTTCTTGATTGCCCCAGGCGTTTTATCAGGTGTTTATTACCAACCTTTATTTTACTATTGGTTTTCAAATAGTAATTTTAATAGCTAATGCAGTTTATAGCTAATAGACTTAGTTTTTTGTTAGTTAAATAAGTATGCCTTCAAAATTTAATAGTTAAAACGATTTTGACAAATATTTTTTTTCTATTTTCTCGCATTGTGACGAAACAAAACTATCTCATAAAGAAAGAAAAAACATTTTTTCAACTAATATCTATTTAATGTAATTTTACTCATTAAAGTTATTTAACGATATGTAAATTTTACAAAGAATAAACATGTTTACTGATATCTCGTTAGAATTTCAATAGAGTAGAAAGCTCCCGACATCATAACTTATAA